ACCCTGCCAATAACACCCTGCCAATAACACCCTGCCAATAACACCCTGCCAACAACACCCTGCCAACAACACCCTGCCAATAACACCCTGCCAATAACACCCTGCCAATAACACCCTGCCAATAACACCCTGCCAATAACACCCTGCCAATAACACCCTGCCAACAACACCCTGCCAACAACACCCTGCCAACAACACCCTGCCAACAACACCCTGCCAACAACACCCTGCCAAGAACACCCTGCCAATAACACCCTGCCAATAACACCCTGCCAATAACACCCTGCCAACAACACCCTGCCAATAACACCCTGCCAATAACACCCTGCCAATAACACCCTGCCAACAACACCCTGCCAACAACACCCTGCCAACAACACCCTGCCAATAACACCCTGCCAATAACACCCTGCCAATAACACCCTGCCAAGAACACCCTGCCAATAACACCCTGCCAATAACACCCTGCCAATAACACCCTGCCAACAACACCCTGCCAACAACACCCTGCCAACAACACCCTGCCAACAACACCCTGCCAATAACACCCTGCCAGTAACACCCTGCCAATAACACCCTGCCAATAACACCCTGCCAATAACACCCTGCCAATAACACCCTGCCAAGAACACCCTGCCAATAACACCCTGCCAACAACACCCTGCCAACAACACCCTGCCAATAACACCCTGCCAACAACACCCTGCCAACAACACCCTGCCAACAACACCCTGCCAATAACACCCTGCCAGTAACACCCTGCCAATAACACCCTGCCAATAACACCCTGCCAATAACACCCTGCCAATAACACCCTGCCAACAACACCCTGCCAACAACACCCTGCCAATAACACCCTGCCAATAACACCCTGCCAATAACACCCTGCCAATAACACCCTGCCAATAACACCCTGCCAATAACACCCTGCCAACAACACCCTGCCAACAACACCCTGCCAACAACACCCTGCCAACAACACCCTGCCAACAACACCCTGCCAAGAACACCCTGCCAATAACACCCTGCCAATAACACCCTGCCAATAACACCCTGCCAACAACACCCTGCCAATAACACCCTGCCAATAACACCCTGCCAATAACACCCTGCCAACAACACCCTGCCAACAACACCCTGCCAACAACACCCTGCCAATAACACCCTGCCAATAACACCCTGCCAATAACACCCTGCCAAGAACACCCTGCCAATAACACCCTGCCAATAACACCCTGCCAATAACACCCTGCCAACAACACCCTGCCAACAACACCCTGCCAACAACACCCTGCCAACAACACCCTGCCAATAACACCCTGCCAGTAACACCCTGCCAATAACACCCTGCCAATAACACCCTGCCAATAACACCCTGCCAACAACACCCTGCCAAGAACACCCTGCCAATAACACCCTGCCAACAACACCCTGCCAACAACACCCTGCCAATAACACCCTGCCAACAACACCCTGCCAACAACACCCTGCCAACAACACCCTGCCAAGAACACCCTGCCAATAACACCCTGCCAATAACACCCTGCCAATAACACCCTGCCAATAACACCCTGCCAATAACACCCTGCCAACAACACCCTGCCAACAACACCCTGCCAACAACACCCTGCCAACAACACCCTGCCAATAACACCCTGCCAATAACACCCTGCCAGTAACACCCTGCCAATAACACCCTGCCAATAACACCCTGCCAATAACACCCTGCCAATAACACCCTGCCAATAACACCCTGCCAATAACACCCTGCCAATAACACCCTGCCAGTAACACCCTGCCAATAACACCCTGCCAATAACACCCTGCCAACAACACCCTGCCAATAACACCCTGCCAATAACACCCTGCCAATAACACCCTGCCAATAACACCCTGCCAATAACACCCTGCCAATAACACCCTGCCAATAACACCCTGCCAATAACACCCTGCCAACAACACCCTCCCAATAACACCATGCCAATAACACCCTGCCAATAACACCCTGCCAATAACACCCTGCCAGTAACACCCTGCCAATAACACCCTGCCAATAACACCCTGCCAATAACACCCTGCCAATAACACCCTGCCAATAACACCCTGCCAATAACACCCTGCCAATAACACCCTGCCAATAACACCCTGCCAATAACACCCTGCCAACAACACCCTGCCAATAACACCCTGCCAATAACACCCTGCCAATAACACCCTGCCAATAACACCCTGCCAATAACACCCACCCTGCCAACAACACCCTGCCAATAACACCCTGCCAATAACACCCTGCCAATAACACCCTGCCAATAACACCCTGCCAATAACACCCTGCCAACAACACCCTGCCAACAACACCCTGCCAATAACACCCTGCCAACAACACCCTGCCAACAACACCCTGCCAACAACACCCTGCCAACAACACCCTGCCAACAACACCCTGCCAATAACACCCTGCCAATAACACCCTGCCAATAACACCCTGCCAACAACACCCTGCCAACAACACCCTGCCAATAATACCCTGCCAATAACACCCTGCCAACAACACCCTGCCAACAACACCCTGCCAACAACACCCTGCCAATAACACCCTGCCAATAACACCCTGCCAATAACACCCTGCCAATAACACCCTGCCAATAACACCCTGCCAATAACACCCTGCCAACAACACCCTGCCAACAACACCCTGCCAACAACACCCTGCCAACAACACCCTGCCAATAACACCCTGCCAATAACACCCTGCCAGTAACACCCTGCCAATAACACCCTGCCAATAACACCCTGCCAATAACACCCTGCCAATAACACCCTGCCAATAACACCCTGCCAATAACACCCTGCCAGTAACACCCTGCCAATAACACCCTGCCAATAACACCCTGCCAACAACACCCTGCCAACAACACCCTGCCAATAACACCCTGCCAATAACACCCTGCCAATAACACCCTGCCAATAACACCCTGCCAATAACACCCTGCCAATAACACCCTGCCAATAACACCCTGCCAATAACACCCTGCCAACAACACCCTGCCAATAACACCCTGCCAACAACACCCTGCAAATAACACCCTGCCAATAACACCCTGCCAACAACACCCTGCCAATAACACCCTGCCAATAACACCCTGCCAATAACACCCTGCCAATAACACCCTGCCAATAACACCATGCCAACAACCACACATTCTTTGTGCGCAAGAGCCTCTCATACACACAGCCCTTGCAGGCAATTCCGTCATGCCCTTGCAGGCAATTCCGTCATGCCCTTGCAGGCAATTACGTCATGCCCTTGCAGGCAATTACGTCATGCCCTTGCTGTGTAAGGGCATGACGGTTAAGAGCCTTCCGTCATGCCCTTGCTGCAGGCCGCAAGAGCCTCAAGTCATGTCAGCATATTTAGGTGGCTCAACATTGAGGCTCACAGTAACTGAAGGTTAGTCAGGAGGCTCAATCCAACAGGCACGTTCCCATCAAGCTGGTTACCACTCAAGTCTCTGGGTGAAAAAGGGTGCAGAGGGGTGCAGAGGGGATGGAACACGGGAGACACAATGGGACGGAGTGACAGGGATGCATTGGCATGGGCAGATTGATTGACAGGAAACACCAACGTGTGTGGATGGATAAGGAATGTGACGGACGCAAAGGGGTGGGAATCCAATCCAATCCAATCCAGTGTCGAATGTGACGTGCTACATCTGCGAGGTCATGTCGTGTAGACTAACAATCAGGGACTGATGAGTCGACAACGGTCAACAGAGATCAACAGAAGTCAACAGAAGTCAACAGCAGTCAACAGAGGTCAACAGAGGTCAGCAGCGGTCAACAGAGGTCAACAGCGGTCATGGCCGCATGGTGCCTCAAAGAACATTTGGGCATGGCACGCGCATCCCATGGTTCCTGCCTGCGAGCCTTCCAGGCTAGAGCCGTACAGTTTCTGAAAGGAGTCGCCGCCCGCAGCATGCTTGATTCTTCCTAGCAGCAATAGCACCCGAGAACATTTGAGCTGAGGCGCATCAGAAACAAAGACTTACAAGAATTGAAGAGGTTCCAAGTTGCTTATTCTGGCAGGAATCGATCCCGTGAGCTGGTTGTTGTGGAGGAGACTGGGAGGCATGGAGGGTGAGAGAGGGGGAAAGGTGGGAAGGAGAGGGGGGGGGGGGGGGAGGGAGGGAGGGGGGGGGAGAGGGGGAAACATATACGGTAGCAAAGGGAGGGGTTAGGAGGAGAAGGGAGTGAGGGGGGTGGGAGATGGGGAGAGGGGAGAGGGGGCAAGGAAGGTGAAGAAGAGGGGGAGGAAAGAGAAGGGGTGGGGGGGGGGGGCGAGAGTGGGTGTGGTGTGGGGAGACGAAAAAGAGTGGGGGGGAGAAGAGCTGGAAAATAGAAACAGAAAGATTGGTCTGGATGAATAGTCAAAAATGTACAAGGAGGACAGAATCACAGAACCAACAGATAGGGGTAAGGGGGAAGAGGGGAAAGGGGGGGGGGAGAGGGGGGAGGAGGAGGGACAGACAGGGTAAACTCTAGAAAACAGCAGATAGATAACAGTTTCTGCCAAGGCAAGCACCGGACAACTATTGAAGCGCCTCAAAAGGAGGGTCCCGGGTCCGTGTAAACTCTAGAAAACAGGAGATAGATAACATGCTGTGCTCCAGTTTCTGCCAAGGCAAGCCCAGGACACGCTGTAAGCTTTACAGAACAGGAGCCAGAGGCCCGTGGGGTTACAAGGGAAAAAAAAATTCAAAGTCACATTTTTTTCAAAGTTACATTTTTTCAACAAGTGACTGTCGTTCTTTGCTAAAGCGATCCTTCAAGCAGGCTGGCTGTTGCTGCTCTTCTTCATGACCAGTGTCAGTAGCAGGCAGTATCGAAAGCAAGTACCAAGGAGGGGACATGCTTCGTTAGACTTCCAACCAAGGCCTTGGAGTTGCTGTGATGGTTGGCATGGCATCTCTGGAGTGTCGGAGTTACTCCCCTCTCCTTACTCACTCGTCTCTTGCCCTTGCCTCTTCCCTGCCTTCTGTCCTCACCTTCTTCCCTTCCTTCTTATTCTGGCCTTTCCCCACCTTGTGCTGTCCCCACTCCTGTTCCCTTGTTCCCTTCTGCGTTCTCAGCCACTACCATGAGAGGTTCACTCTCCCACACGATGGCTGCCCACAGTGGCGTAGTCACCTAGCTAGAGTAGCCTTGTTGCAGTAACGTTATCCACTATATGAGGCAAACAAGTCGAGAGAACAAGATTGCTTTGCTCAACTAGGCTACTTGTGCCTGGCTTCCCAGTCGCACAGTTCTCTGCGTGATGGGTTGGGCCCGAGCCGCCTGGGCCTTGGATTGGCCCTCACCAGAATTCCTGTCTCCCAATGTCCCTGGAATTGCACCCGCAGCGCCCTGCAACCCCCAATGCTACCAACCCTTCGCTTCTCCCAACACCCAACTACCTCCCCTATAGGTTGAATAGCAATTGCTACAGCACTTCTACACCTCAATTAGCGTATGTCCAGAATATGATGCACTTACCATTATATTCGGTGACAGCTGTCGGAGTTACTCCCCTCTCCTTACTCACTCGTCTCTTGCCCTTGCCTCTTCCCTGCCTTCTGTCCTCACCTTCTTCCCTTCCTTCTTATTCTGGCCTTTCCCCACCTTGTGCTGTCCCCACTCCTGTTCCCTTGTTCCCTTCTGCGTTCTCAGCCACTACCTGCCCCCTCCTGTGCGCGTGCTCGAGCTGCTCGGGCACGAGTCACAGGACTCTCAGCTGAGGACGGCTGCTCCTCAGTCCTGCCGTGCGGGTCTGGTGGTCCACGGTCTGTTCTCCCTTCTCCTTCTCCAGCACTAGCACTCCCACGCCTCACACTGCTTGCGCCCTTCCCTTCACTCTTCCCTAGTCCACATCTAGTGTGTCCTTCTTTGCCCCTCTCTTCCCGTCCCACCTCTATAGCCGCCCTTATCCCCTTGCCTTCCTGCTGCTGCCACTGCTCACGGCTGCACGCATCCCTCAACTGCACGGTATGTAGGTCCCCCACCGATACCGGTATCACCTCCTCCAAGTGTTCCGCTGCCTTAGCTCGCTCCCATGCCGCCCGGTTCTCCGCCTCTTCCATTGTATGGTCTGCCTTTTCCCCTGTTGCTAGGGGCTCCCCTGCCCCCACTTCCTTACTCTCCTGCTCTGCTTCCCCCAGCAGCTCTGGCCTTCCTCCCCGCAGCTTCCTCACATGCTGCTCCGCCAGCTTGTTTCCCTGCGCTTGCTCCTCTGCTTGCATCCGATCCTCCATTGTCACGCCAGTCTTTGCCCCTGCCCTGATTTCCCCGAACAACTCCGCTGTCCTTAGCGCTGGCTGCCAACCACTCCCTCCCATGTCTGTACTGCTCGGCTCCTTCTTCCCTCCTTTCTTCACCGCTCCCTCCTTCTCGCCCTTCCCTTCCGCATCTGCTGTCGCTGGTACACACGGCCTTGCCGCCGCCTCTACGTCCCTCTCTTCTACTTCTCCTGTTGCAAGTTCGCTCACTCCTGCCCCCACCTGCTCGTCCTTCTCCTCTGCTTCCGCGGCTGCTGGTACGCACGCCCAGGTCCCCTCCCTCTCATTCTTCCCTTCCCCTTCTGTGGCTGCCCATTCCCTCACCTTCTCATTCTTCCCTTCAGTGCCTGCTGCTACAAATTCACACCCTCCCGCCTCCTCCTTCTCGTCCTTCTCTTCCCCTTCTGCCACTGCCCATTCCCTCACCTTCTCATCCTTCTCCTCCTCTTCTGCCACTGCCCATGCCCTCACCTTCGTTGCTCGCTCCCTTCCTCCGTCCCTGCCCCCACTGCGCAGCCCCATGACTTCACTGCTACGAAGCACCGCACAGGAATATTCTGGCTCCTGCTCCTTTTCCTCTTCCTCCTCTTCCTCCTCTTCCTCCCTTACATACAACCCCACCTGCCTCTCTGTTCTTTCTCTGAGCGCCCGCCCTTTCCTTCCGTCTCTGCCCCCACTGCGCAGACCCAGTTCCTCAAGGCTACGTAACGCCAGGCATGTGTACTCTGGCTCCTGCCCCTCCTCCTCTTCTGCTCCTTCTTCCCTCGCGTACAACCCAGCCTCCTTCTCCTTACTCCCTCCCATGGCCTGCAACTCCGCCCGCAACTTCCTTATCTGGCTCTCAATCTCCTCTGGTGACCCTTTCCTTCCGCCTGTCCCTTTATTGCAGTCCCTTGCCTCATGCCCCCTTTCCCCGCACTCTTTACATGTCGTTGCCTCCGGGCAGTCCCTTCGGCGGTGCCCTGGCTTCCCACATACATCGCAGTTCCTGCAGTGCATCCTTATGTGCCCCGGCTGCCCACAGCGGTAACAGGTGCGTGTCTCTGTCCTTTTCTCCGGCCTGCTCTCTTCTCCTGTTCCCTCCCCTGGTATCATCGCCGCAGCCCAGGTAGGACTCTTCTTCTCTATCGTTCTTGGCAGGTATACCTCGTACTTCCTCTGCCCGAGCTCCACCCGCTCCGCTAACTCGAACACCTCTTCTGGTGTTGCATCTGCTCCTAGCTCATAGACTCTCATTCTCAACCCTCCTGCCAATCCCTTGTCTAAACCGTTCAGAAACTTGCTAATGATCATGCTGCTGTCCGTGCACACCACATCTTCCGCCAGGTTTGTTAACCGTCCGTAGTATGTCAGCAGTGACTCCTCATCCCTCCGCCTAAACTCTTGAAATTCCCTAATGCGCACCGCCGTATGCCCAGGGAACTGCTTCCTTAGGCGCTCCAGGAACAGTACTGTTGGGTCCTCGTCATCCTTTTCTGCCCTCCTCAGCCATTCACCAATCTTCATGCGATACAGAGTCTCTGCTTCCCCTCCCAACGTGCTTGGCAGGCTCAGGAAGAACTCGATCGGGTCCATCCCGCTTCTGTCGCATCGGTATTTGACATTGCTGATCTGCATCAAGTAATTCTTCAGACTTGGACCGGTTTTCTCGTTTCCCGTGAAGCGTACTGGCACCTCCACTCGCGGCTGTGCTGTTGCGCCCCACTTCCCTGTTTCACAGCTCTCCGTCCCTCCTCGCTCAGACACCATAACCCCTCTCCTCCTCTCCTGTTCTCCCCTGCTGCCTGTGCTGGTTCCGTACAGCACTCGCTCTAATCCTTCCCTAGCCGCTCTTGCTCCCGCAGATCCTTCGCTGTGACGCCCAAGCCTCCTCGGGCACATCGGGCTAGGGCTCCTCCCTCGGGCATCTTCACGCTCCTCCCAACGCCTCTCTGGATCTTCCCGACGCTTCTCTCCCCTTGCAGGGGACCGCTCCTGGTACCGCCGCACTCTGTCCTCTCGCTGTCGCTCCTTCTCTGCTGCCCTCGAGACCTCTGGTGACCGCACACCTTCTCTCCTGCCTCGCCTGTCCTCCTCGCGCCTCCACTCCCTTCCTCTTTCCTGTGAAACCTGCCTCCTTCTTCAGCACCGCATCGCTCTCCCCTCCTCGGCAGTCCTAAGCCTATCCAGTCACCTCTCGCCATACGCCGCTTGTGCTCATACCCCTGCCTCAGGTCGGGCGAGTGGAACACTCCAGCAGGTGCGCCATGGCTCCTTTCTTTCCCTTGACGTTCTGTGGCCTGGCGCTCAACTCCCTCACCCCAGCCCTGCTCCCTATCATTCCTTTTCCGTGCTCCAGGTATGCGCTCTTCCTTCCTCCTTCCCCTTTCCTCGTTCCATGCTTTCTCGCGATGCCTCTGTCCGTCACCCTCTCCCATTCTTTCTCCATTCCCGCCTCCCCGCGCAGCAGGGGAATCGTCTCCGTCGGCGCCAGCGCGCCTCCCGCCTCCCCGCGCAGCAGGGGAATCGTCTCCGTCGGAGGGAGGGAGGGAGGGATGAGGAAGGGGGATGTGGGGGTGCCAAGGGAACACGAGGGAAAGAGGGAGGAAAATAAAAGAAACATTGATAGGTGACATGAGGAGGACTTGTGGGAACAGATTATGTATGGAAGAGGAACGTGGTAAGACAGAGCGGAAGAAGAGAGTAATAATGGCTTCTGGAGTGCTAATGCTCTTCTACACCCGCACTCCCCATAACTTCCTGCAAAAGACAACATTAAGAATGACGTAACACTCCCTCGCTGATACGCACTTGTGTTGCTACTGAGTCGCTCAATAAGAGCAGCCAGTTGTGTCAAATCGGAGAAGTCCCTTAAATCGATGAAAGAGTATGGAGGCGCATAGTTAAAGACATCTGGAGCTCCATAGTAGATTGGTACAGAGCATGGCACAGCAACAACACCGACAGGCATCATTCTACGAGAAACAGAGGAGCTGCTGAAGCAGAAATTGAACGACCGGACCAAAAATAACGATGACAAAAAAAAGGGAGTGAAAAGGCATAAGGATTACGGCACGGAGGTTAAGGACAGTGGCAAGTACCGGCTTCTAGGGGAATGAAGAGCTTCTCAGTGACGTATCCAGGGAGTACGGCTCCCTCTATAGCGAGTACAAACTTGTACCGGGACATTACACAGTGCGCGCGAGATTGCCACGTGTCTGGATCCGATCTGATGCATGGGGAGAGGGAAAGGGGATGGTGGGAGGGAAAGGGAATGGAGTGAGGAACAGGGATGGAGGGAGGGAAGAGGGTTGGAAGGAGGGAATGGGGATGGAGGGAGGGAATGGCAATGGAAGGAAGGAGAAGGGTCATACCTGCACCCAGGGTGTGCCTTCTGCTCTGTGATTGGCCGCATGTTGTTGCGACAGGCTCCAAAGGAGTGATGACGTGGCAGTGCTGCCAGCACAGCTGTCGCCAGGTCATCGCGCCATGTGGGAGAGCAGCGTGAAGCCAGGTGGAGAGTTGGAGTGGACTGAATTAGGATGCGGATAGGAGAGGGAAAGGGGGAGGGAGATGCAAGGAGATGAAGGGGGATGTAGGGCGATGGAATGGGATGAAGGGGGAGAATGAGGGAGAAGAATAACGAAGTGGGAAAAAAGGGAGAAGATGGGAGGGTGAAGAGACACTCCTAAAAAGATTTGTGTCACAATGAATTCGGGGTGAGAAGAAACGGAGAAAGGGGGGGCGGTTGAATTAAGAGTCACAGGAATAATGATTGCCTGTGTATTAAGAGAGATGGGAAGCTGTGAGGCAGGAAGAAAGAAACGAAAAGAAGGATGCTGGATGGAGGGGCGGATATGGGACACTATGAATGTGGGCAGGGGGAACAGAAGTTTTTGCATGTTAATGCATGGACATTGGACATGGCCTCGGCGCATGTGAGATGGTCCTATCCATGTGCATGCATGCACACCAGCACATGCACACACGCACACACACTCACGCACACACATGCACACATGCACCACACGCACGGATATGCACACACACGCACGCATGTAAACATGCACGCACGTGGCACACACACACCTGCATTTTGGTAGCGGAGCGCATGTGAGGGCGTGTGAGGTCGCCGTTAATGCCCACGTAGGTCAGCTGGTTGTGAGGCATGGAGAGGAGGAGGAGGCATGGGGAGGAGCGGGAAGCATGGGGAGGAGGGGGTATGGGGAGGAGGGGGTATGGGGAGGAAGGGGTATGGGGAGGAGGGGGTACGGGGAGAAGAGGGCATGGGGAGGAGGAGGCATGGGGAGGCGGATGTGTGAGGAATGAGGTTACAGAGTAGAGAATTTCTGTGTTGAGATGAGAGGTGACACGGAAGCACAAGGCAGCACAAGGCAAGGTACATACATGCATTGTTCAAGAGAATTTCCTACTGAAAGCATTGTTCAAGAATGTGTGACCAAGGGTCGGCAATACACCATGCTACCTGCTCTCGACGACACACCATGCTCAAGGCTCACCTGAACGTCACTCTCTGTGGTATGAAATCAACACATCCCAATCAGCACCAGCATCACCAGCAGCACCATCATTGGGCTTTTCTCCTCGGCCTTCGTCCCTCCCGCTCCCCCTCCCCCTACCCGGCACCAGCAGTGGTGGTGGGGGTGGCTCAAGGTCAAGGAAAACCGTCACAGGGCGAGGCAAGCTGCTGCTTTCCCTGGGACCGTGGCTTGTGCTGCTGCTGCTACTGCTGCTACTGTTGCTGCGTATTGTGGGTATTTTACTGCTGGTATTGGTGCTGGTTGTGGTGCTGCGATCAGTGCTGGTTTCTGCGGTTTCACTGGTATCAGTGCTGCTGCTGCTGCTGCTGCTGTCATTCCTGCTGTCTCCTCCAGCGTCGCCGCCTGTCTCTCTTGTTTTGCGCCGTTCCTGCATCTCCTTCTCACTCCTCACAGGCATACTAGTAGCACTACCGCCACCAGCAGCAGCAGCAGCAGTGCTAGCCTCTGCGCCCCTCACATGCAGATGGGCATGAGCGGTGGCAGCAGTGGCAGGGTCCCAAGAGACCTGCACATATATGGGATGGGAGAGGTGGGAACACGAGGGACCTTTCCAAGGTGAATACATCTGTGTGTGTGTGTGTGTGTGTGTGTGTGTGTGTGTGTGTGTGTGTGTGTGTGTGTGTGTGTGTGTGTATTTCCGTTTGTCACTTCTTTTCACTAAGGAAGAGGATGACGGGAGAGATGTGCTGGAAGTAAACACACTGAGAAACAGTTACAGGGCAAAGAACTGCAGAGGGCAAAGAACTGCAGAGGGCAAAGAACTGCAGAGGGCAAAGAACTGCACAGGGCAAAGAACTGCACAGGGCAAAGAACTGCACAGGGCAAAGAACTGCACAGGGCAAAGAACTGCACAGGGCAAAGAACTGCACAGGGCAAAGAACTGCACAGGGCAAAGAACTGCACAGGGCAAAGAACTGCACAGGGCAAAGAACTGCACAGGGCAAAGAACTGCACAGGGCAAAGAACTGCACAGGGCAAAGAACTGCACAGGGCAAAGAACTGCACAGGGCAAAGAACTGCACAGGGCAAAGAACTGCACAGGGCAAAGAACTGCACAGGGCAAAGAACTGCACAGGGCAAAGAACTGCACAGGGCAAAGAACTGCAGAGGGCAAAGAACTGCAGAGGGCAAAGAACTGCAGAGGGCAAAGAACTGCAGAGGGCAAAGAACTGCAGAGGGCAAAGAACTGCAGAGGGCAAAGACCCTGTCCCCTTCCACACTCTTCACCATCAGCTGTATGCTGAAAGCATACATGGCAAAGACACGTGTATGAAGAAGTATTTGAGACGTCTCAAAACACTTCTTCATACATGTTCCCTTCCACACTCTTCACCATCAGCAGTCTGCTGAAAGCATACATGGCAAAGCACTGCACAGCTGATGGTGACGAGTGTGGAAGGAAAGAGAGGAGCAGAGAGGGGCATGGAAGAGAGAGAGAGAGAGAGAGAGAGAGAGAGAGAGAGAGAGAGAGAGAGAGAGAGAGAGAGAGAGAGAGAGAGAGAGAGAGAGAGAAAAAAAAACCGGAAACGAGAGAGCAAAGCTCTCCTCCTCTTGAGGGGACAAACAAGAGAGCAAAGCCACAGCGGCTGCAGCAGCAGCAGCAGCAGCAGCAGCAGCAGCAGCAGCAGGTACAGCAGCACGGACAGAGCAGGAGAGGTTGCAGCGAGGGCAGTGGTGGTGCCCCTGCAGGCCCATCGCAGTGCCGTACTGCGAGCTGAACCACGCTGGGTGCGCCCTCACATGCACTGCCACGTGCCTCCCGTACACGCGCGGGCAATCATAAGGCGGGTCTCTCTGGCGGGGGAGAGGGAGCGGTGGGATGGGAAGACAGGTCGGAGGGGAGAGGGAAGAGAGAGGTTATAAGAGTGATCAGGCCCATCGCAGTGGTGGTTGCCCTGCAGGCCCATCGCAGTGCGATGCCATACTGCGAGCTGAACCACGCGGTGTGCGCGCTCGCTCACATGCACTGCCACGTGCCTCCTTGCGCACGTGCGTGCAACCCAGGGTTGGGTCCACCTACCGGGGGAGAGGGAGAAGGAGAGGGAGAGGGAGAGAGGTGTGGGGAATGGCAGTGCTGTGGTACGAGCTGAACCATGCGGGGTGCGCCCTCACATGCACTGCCACGTGTGTCTGCTGTGCGTGCACGTGCAGGCAGGTGCGGGGTGGGATCGTCTGGTAAGAAAGAAGGGTGTGATGGATCATGGAAGGATAGGGGGTTGCATTGCAGTTCGCCTGTTAACAACGGGGATGATAGAAGGACGGGGGGCATGGGAGGGGTGAACTGATAGAAAAGTACGGATCCAGATCAATGGCAAGTACAGTACAGAACTTCCATGGGTGTGCCAGTGTGCAGCATAGTGCAGTGCGGTGCGATGCGGTGCAGTGCGGTGTGGTATGCAGCAGCGAACTGCAGTGCAGTGCGGTGCAGTGGCGTTACCTGAAGGGACATGTTCGCAGAAAAGGCACGATTGGAAACATTTCCTCCCTGCTCCCAGTCTTGCTGCTGCCCTTGCTGCTGCTGCTGCAAAAGCTGCTGCTGCTGCTGCTGCTGCCACAGCTGCGGCCCTTGTCTCTCTTGCTGTCGCAGTGAAAGCTGCTCCCACAGATAATCCCACATCTCATCCTCACTCCGCCCATCTGTACCCCTCTGCACACGCCCATCCTTTTCCTCACCCCCACCATCCCCACCACCTCCACCGCTTCCCCCACCACCATTCCCCCCACCATCACCCTTCACAAAAGCAGCAGCATCACCAGCAACAACATCAGCATCAGCAGCAGCAGTAGGGCTCCTGGTTTGGGTGTGAGGGTTGGCGGAGAAGTGAGCGAGGAGAGAGAGCAGCAGCGGACGCAGGTCAGGGCCGGAAGCAGCAGGGACTGGTGTAGCATCCTGCCCACCGGAAATTCCTGCGTCACTGCTGCTGCTGCTGCTGCTGCTGCTCTCAACACTGCTGCTGCCGGCACCACTGCTGCTGCTGCTGCCACCGGCGCCGGTGTGTGCATAGGCGTGCGGTGAGGACGGAAGGTCATTAATGCCCAGGTCAAGCGCCATGCGGTGCACCAGACGCATGCAGCCGCCCTGCTGCACCCACTGGCTGGCTGGACGGCGCGAGTGAGGGGGAGAGAGGGAGATTGAGGGAGATTGAGGGAGATTGAGGGAGAATGAGGGAGAATGAGGGAGAATGAAGGAGAATGAGGGAGAATGAGGGAGAATGGGGGAGAATGAGGGAGAATGAGGGAGAATGAGGGAGAATGAGGGAGAATGGGGGAGAATGAGGGAGAATGAGGGAGAATGAGGGAGAATGGGGGAGAATGAGGGAGAATGAGGGAGAATGGGGGAGAATGAGGGAAAATGAGGGAGAATGGGGGAGAATGAGGGAGAATGAGGGAGAATGGGGGAGAATGAGGGAGAGAGGGAGAATGAGGGAGAATGAGGGAGAATGAGGGAGAATGGGGGAGAATGGGGGAGAGTGCGGAGTGGGGGGGAGTGGGGGGGAGAGTGAGGGGGAGGAAGAGAGTGAGGGAGTTGGGAGAAGGGAGAGTGAGATGAGTCAGGGGGGGTGGTTAGGGAATGAGTATATGCGTGAGGGAGTGGGAAAGTAAACAAGGAGGGAGGGAGTGGGTAAGCAAGGACGAGCGAGAAGGATGACGGAAAGAAGTACAGAAGTATAATAACGATTCACCAGATTCAGCAAAAGTACCAAGCGATTGATGACTAGGAGGGAAAGTGAGCTCCGGATATATTTGCCCAGCTGATAAGGCATCAGACCGAGCAGGAGGGGGCATGATCGCCCGTTCACCAAGCTCGTTCAGGGCATCTTTTCCTCCTTCCCTTTCTCCCCGCTCCCCCCTCCCTCCCCACTCTCCTCTCCCCTTCCCCCCAGCCCCCCTCCCCACCTTCCGCCCCTCTCTTCCTCTCTACCCCACCCCAACTCGGCCCCCTCAGCCCCGTCAGTCCCCTCAACCCCCTCTCTAACAGTTTTTTGCCCTCTCCCCTATCGGCCCCTCGCCCCCTTTTTTCTCACTCGATTTCGGAGGGCATGTGCAGTGCGCCTTCGCCCCACATGTCCTCGTGAATCCGCCGCACGTAAGGGCTCTCCAAGAACGGCCGATCCATTTCCTCTGCACTCAACGCTCCGTGCATCGCGCCGTCTGTTTCGCTGTGGAATGCGCCGTACTTCCCGCCGTGAATCCCGCCGCCGGTTTCCCGCGAAGATTGGTCACCGATCCCTCCCGCTTCGCTACCGAACCAGGCTATCATATCTCCAGCTCGCGTGAGAGGCGACGCGGAGAACAGCAACGCGAGGAGGGAGAGACACGTGGCAGCAGCTCCGATCGCGAGCCAGGGAAGCAAGCGGAGCATCCTTCTCGATGACGCGGAGCCTGCTGACGTGGCAGGACCGTCGCCCAGGACGTGGGTTGTGGCATCGGAGACGATCGCGCGAATGGCGGACGGACGTAGTTCTGAGGCCGTCTGACGTGGCATCGACATGGAGTACCTGTTGAGTCGCGATCAGCTACTATTCTGCATTTAATAAATCAGCTATTATATGAAACACCAGTCCCTAGTATCCTGCAAAACGTCATGTACACACTCTTACGCACCCACCATAGCTCCTAATATGTTTGTGATATGTTTGGAGTCTATTCCATTCATAGAAGCGATGGAGAATTCATTCGCCTCATACCCGCTAAAAGACCCTCGTTTCCACAACCCTCTATGCGTCCTGAATTCCCTACTTAGGGCGCGGAACATTTGGAAATTTGCAAATTTCCCTTACCGTCGTCCGGTTAGGATGATTAGCAGGTTGATGTCAGAAAGAGCGTGTGTAAAACCAGGGTACACATTCAACGCGACTCCAGGCTAAATTTTGGGCGGCATGTTTGCGGGAACTGCTGATTGGTTGACGAGTAGCGAATAAATAGTTGAGAATGGGCGAGCATGGGGCTTTTCGTCCGTGAGAGATGAGGCTTGGCAGGGGAGAAATTGATAACACTTGGATCTAGAAATTGGGGATCAAGGGGAGGGCAACTGGGTTAGCGGAAAGGGGAAAGGGGGTGAGACGATATTGTGGGGGAAGGGGAAACAATTTCGGTGGGAGCGGAATAGGTATGGGGAGGGGGGAAACGAATTGGCGGAAGCACATTCGATGACTTCGGTATACATTTGCCAAATCTCGAGGGTTCAAATGTTCACCTGCTGAAGCGAACACTACCCCCAGATATTCCTAAATCACTGAGTAACCCCGAGGTCAAAGGTTAACCTTTGACAGAAATCCAATTGAATGTGCACCCTGGTTGTAAGCGAGCGAGCGAGCGAGCGGGCGAGGTGTGTTGTTCGCGCGCGAAAGCGCGAAACAGTGGTAGTTGGTGGCGAGAAGCAAATAGTTGTAGCGTTACTGTAACTGGACGAGCTGTCGAGACGCTGGAAGCATAACGCTGTACGCGGTAGCAGGCTGACGCGAAGCAAGTGTTATTCGTTACGCCCTGGAACGAGCAAATGAGGTTTGCACTAAAGGGTCAAGAAAATAGTACCATATGAAGACACTGAATACGAAAAAAATAGTAAAAGGTAACATGCAAAAAATAATATATGCAACGCTGGAATCAGGTTTTGAAATAGTTTTTATAGAGAAGAAAAATTAGGTGCGTGCGACTTAAGGACACTCTAAATCCTTTACACCTACATAACATTACGTCGATCTAGTATTTAACAATAATCTTACTAAAACTTTGATAGCGAATATACTTGACTTCTCAATAGCGCGACGGGAGACTGGCAGTGGGGTCAAAGCTGCATTCGCACCCCAGATTCTCGTCTCCTCCGCACCCAACGTCTTCGTGTCAAAAATTATTTCCTAGGATGAACGAGGCCTATATTACGAGCTCCGCTTCTCCTGTCTCGCTGCTATGTTGTGCGCCTCGCTTGAGAAGCTATCTGGCGGTGTTTTTACTCGCGCTTGCGTCGTAATCGCGTCGCAAGTGATTTTCTCCTAGGCGTTTAACGGCGATTTCATCTCAGCGACGTTATGACGGTCGCCGACGACGTAACCAGCAAGGCCGGAAATATTTCCAGCAATATGGTTGTTAACGGGTCTACTCTTAACGGAGACCCCTGGGGCCGCTATAACGAGTACGAGCACCAGTACAAGCCTTTCCAGTCCCGCAGCGCCCAGCTGAAGCAGACGGCTCGTGCGGTCATGGATGCGACGAGGAGCGCGGCGCGAGAGGCGTGGGGAAGAGGCGCAGAAGGATTCAGTGCGGTAGTTGACCGAGCCGTGGGCTGGGCGCGCGAAGGAGGCACGTGGCGGTGGATTGTTCTAGGAACTGTAAGCTGTTCTTTTCAACCTTTTCGAGTGATAATTGATTTAGTTATTCGACTCAGTCGCCTGCAAGGAGCCGTTCTTAATTGGTCAGCTGATGAAAGTTCTCCGTTTTGTTTCCCCAGGGATTGATTTACCTTCTGCCTTCGAATATCTTGTTCCTTTTAGTCCACCCTCGTTCCACAACGAACGCTCTCCTTTTTCCCCTCCTCCGTCTCCCTTTCTCAGTGCCCTTGCTCCTTCCACCGTTCCGCCTGAATTATTGTCCTCTATTCTGTCTGCTCCCGTCTCCCTTACCCTCTCATCCCCATCGGTACCTCTCTCAACGGTTAACTTCCTCCCACCCCGCTCTCACTCCTCGCACCTCTTCCTCACTGCCTCTCTGTCCCTCTCTCTCTCTCCCTGCTTCTCCCCCGGACATCTCCTTGAATTCCCTCACAACAGACCTCAGCGTCTCTCCTCTCGCTGCTCGCCTGCACAGCCGTGTCCCTTATCGTCACCGTCGCTCTCACCACTGCTGCGCTAGTCGTCTGCTGCGCCTCTGCCATTGCCGCTGCTGCTCTCTTTCTCTTCCTCATGCTCTTTGGGGTTACTGCTGTGCTCTGTGTTGCTGCGTCTGCTGTGGCCTTCACTGCCATGGCTGTAGCTTCAGCAGCAATCACATGCATTCTCTTTGCTGCTGGTAAGGCTTTCTCTGCTTCTTGTTCTTCTTCCTGCTGTTGTTCATGTTTTTACTCTTGCTCCTGAATTTTTTCTCATCCTTGTTTGTGTTCGTGTCCTTGTTCCTCCCCAACAATCACCCCTGTGAGATTTCTAGTTATTGGCACGTTGTCTGCCTCCCACAGTCCACCTCTGTTCCCACATGCTCTTTTTGCCCTTCTCCTTTCCCCAGGAACGGCCCTGTCAGCATGTGCATGGTGGTGGGTGTTCACACACGTCACCTCTGCCCTGCGCTCTTCTGCTGCTGCCACCAAAAGCTACATCCTGCCAGCTCCCCACACTGCCACCCACACTGGTGCCCGTGCACATGCTCTGAGGATTCCCCTGGTAGCTGGAGCAGCTGCTTCATGTGCTGGCAGCAGCGGTGGGAGAAGAAAACAACGACACTTCGCCTCCACCTGCAGCAGCAGCAGCAGCAGCAGCAGCAGCAGCAGCAGCAGCAGCAGCAGCAGCAGCAGCAGCAGCAGCAACAGAGGCAGCAACAGAGGCAGCAACAGAGGCAGCAACAGTGGCAGCAGTGTCAGCAGCAGCAGCAGGAGCACTTGCAGAAATGCCATTGGGGTTACAGCCAATGTAGCACCAGCTACAGTAGCAGAGGGGAAGTTTTTTCCAATGTGGAACACATACAATACAAGTGGCTTGGTTCAATATGGCCATGCACTGATGTAGGGGTAGCAACGGATATGTTTGCTGCTACGGTGGAGCTTTGTGTCTGCAAACCTTGGGTAAAAGCATTGTTTCACTGTCTTGCTAGGGTCTCTTTGTATATTACCGGTATATGTAGTGTCCTTATGTCGTGAATTGTGTTATGCTGATGAAATATCCTAAACTGCTATCCAAGAAGGCGGCTTCAAAGCTGAGTTGAAAACTCTAAGCCTGTCAATCCGTAGCAGCAGTACACTGCTGCCAGCAGGCCAATTTCCTCCCTGTACGAGCTCCACATAGTATGTTATTGAATGCCAACGAATCTGCACTGCAACCCCTGGAAAATCTTGCGAGGGAGCCCTCCGCAAGTGAGCTCTATTAAGGACAAACAAGGAATGTCAACAAGTGGCAATAATTGGTGGGGAATTTCCTAAAGCTGTCAAGGCTAACAGGCGGACAGCTTGCTAGGCTCGTCAAGGGTCGGCTGGCTTAGCAGCCATGTCCAAAACAGCGTCAGCTGGGACCTGAAATCGGAAGCAGTGGTTGTGACAGAGAATTGGGAATTAAATACTCTTGTTAATACTCTCGAAATTGGAACACATCATGTTGACGGATGGCGAGCAGCAGCAGCAGCATGGCAGAGACATAGGTGACAAGCATAACGACGGTTGGCAAGCAGAAGAACAGAGACATAGAGCCCATGGGACACCCACACACCCACTCACACACACCCATACAGCATAGCTTTGGGTGTACCGCACACCACCACAGCCCACAACGACTCACTGACCAGCAGGCGGATGGCGAGCAGCAGCAGCACGGCAGAGACGTAGGTGACGCCCATGAAGATGGTTCCAGCGACAGTGTTGGCGCCCAGCTTCGTGTTGTCCTTGTGCGGCACAAACGAGTTCTTGAGCGTGTTGGTCAGCTCAAACAGCCGCAGGGATACCTGCAGACGGGGGATGGGGAGAGGAGGGAGAGGGAGAGGGGGAGGGGAGGTGGAAGGAGAGAACGTTTCAGTGTGCGGACATAACCAGTTGTTGAGTTGGATTATCGGTCAGCTGAAAGGGAAAGACATCATCAGAGAGAGATTGTCAGCTGAAACAGGCAAAGGGAGAAGAGAGAAGACAGAAGAAGGGATACGTGGGAAGTGAGAGGGGCACAGAAGGTAGAAGAGTGTGGTTAGTCAAGTCCGGCCGGCGTGAATGCAGCAGGAACGAGTTTTAGAGGGGTTAGCTTATGGTTGAGGTCTAGCTAGGGTTGAAATCCCCAGGTTGTGACGCAGTGAAGGGGACATGAGGGGAATGCACAATGCAGCGTGGTGAGAAATGGTTGGTGAGAGGGACTGAGTTGGGCACAAGGGTGAAGAGATGGGTGGTGGAGGGATGGACAGTGGTGATAGAAGAAAAGAATGCAGGATGCACGTGCAAAGGAGAAAGACAAACAGCCAGGCAGGCCAAGGAGATGCCTAGGTTCCAGGGGGCAGTGCGCAGTGCACAGGGGGCAGGGGGCAGAGAGCAGGGGGCAGGGGGCAGAGAGCAGGATGCGGGTGCGTACGAGGATGTAGATGGCAGTGGAGAGCATGAAGTTGACGAGGGGGTAGTCCCGCACAAAGCTCAGCAGCATGGCCGGCTGGCCGTTGGGCATGCCCGTCCTGGGAGGGGAAGAGAGGGAGAGGGGCGTGAGGGGAGTGAGGGGAGAAGAGGGAGAGGCAGGGGAGAGAGTGTGAAGGGACAAGTACCAGGACCATACAGCAATTTGCTGCAATATGGTATGGTACCATACATCATGACATGATACAAGAGAAGATGCAGTGCAGTGCAATGCGGTACGGTACGGTGCGGTACCTGAGCCAGATGTGGAACTGGCCAATGTAGGTCTCGAGAGTGATCTTGCCGAGCCAGCCAAAGAGAGCCAGAGACCAGTTGCGGAGAGGCTGTGTCAGATTGCGCAGCGCAATGTAGATGCTGCAGGGACGGGTGGGAGGAAAAGGGGATGGGGAAGGGTTGGTGGGGAGCGGGGCTCTTGAGAATTGTGGAAAGTGACTCAGATTTGTGAAGAGGCTGGGTCTGATTGCGCAGCTCAATGTAGATGCTGCAGGTACGGGCGGGTGGGTGGGGATAGGAGGTTGAGGGGACAGGGGAAATTAGAGGGGGAAGGGGAGCAGGGGCAAGGGCAAGGGCAGGGGCAGGGGCAGGGGCAGGGGCAGGGGAAGGGGAAGGGGCAGGGGCAGGGGCAGGGGCAGGGGCAGGGGCAGGGGCAGGGGCAGGGGCAGGGGCAGGGGCAGGGGCGGGGACAGGCCAGGGAGCAGGGGTGGGGGCGGGGGTGGGGAAAGGGGGGAGTGAGGTGGGGAGGGATAGTGAGGATGGGAGGATTTGATGTCTTAAACATGTGTGCGGGTGTTGTTGTGAACTGTGCCAGCCATGGGATTGGACGTGAGTTTTGAGACGTCTCAAAAGTCGATTTGATGTCTTAAACATGTGTGCAGGTGTTGTTGCGGAGAGAGAGAGAGAAGGAGAGAAGCATGTCTGTACCCCTGCTGAATCAATACAACGGACCATTTGAGAGAGAAGGGGCGGGAGAGGAAGGAGTGAGAGTGAGAGTGAGAGTGAGAGAGACTCACGTGATGGGGATCCAGGACGTGTATGGATGGATAGCATTGTAGGCGAATTTGTCCAAGCAGTAGACGTTCACATACCACACATAGCCCACCTGCTCAGTCATGCGCAACCATACATCCCATCATGCATGCACACAGCATTGCCATGAGCACGCGCACACAGACAACCATGCACAGACCCACAAGCAAAAGGCAACATGAGGAAGAAACGGAAATCTGTCAGCAGCAGCACGAGCAAAGTGCTCTGGAAAGTATCAGAACCAGCAGCAGCATGAGCAGTAGGGCTTCCCTGACAGTGTGGAACCTCTCTCCACTCTCCCTATCTCTCCCCCTCTCACACAGCGTTACACTCGCTCCACACTCTCTTTTGCCTTGAGGCAGCACTGGGCACATATCCCCGCCCGCGTACCCGCCCACTCCTCCCATGTATACCAACATCTTCCAGTGTTCACATCTCTTGGTACGTCCTCTTGTTGATAAGGTGACTTTTGAGTCGACTAAGAAGTCACCTTGTACCAACATCTTCCAGCGTTTACATCTCCTGGTACGTCCTCTTGTTTATGCATGCGAATCGTCACACGTTCTCAGTTCAGAGCATTTACGGTTCATTCAATGTATCCACACTCAATTCCGTCATGTTTAGTGACCAGGCCAGTGTGTCAAACGTTGCAACATGCATGTCACACACTGCACACACACACATGATGCATGCCATGCCATGCCACAGCACAGCGCGGCATGGCATGGCATAGCATGGTATGTATGGCATGGCATCCCCACATACCGAGAGGCAGACAGCGACAATAGCGGCGCGGATGGCGTTGCGGGTCATGTGGTGCATCTCCTCGAGCTTCTCAAGCCAGCGCTCCACCATGGGGTGGAAGTAGGCGTAGATCATGCCAATGATCCAGATGTACCGGTCCAGCCCCGACCGGAAATGCCACTCGTGCAGCAGCGGCAGGTCCGGCTTGCGCGGGTCGATGTACCCTGGGGGGAGGGAGAGGGGATACGGGGGAATGGGGGGCCGCGGAGGATGGGGGGAAGAAGGTTCGTTTTCAAGGGGACTGGGCATGAGGGGGACGGCAGCGGAGAGGGCTGAGGAGGAAGGTGGGTGGGGAGAGAATTGTAGGGAGTAGACGGCAAGAATGGAAGCGTGAGGCGAGGTACCTCGAGAGGGAGGGTATGGCCAGTAACCAAGGCCAAGGGGAGGGTGGGGAAAACGAAAGAGGAAGAGAGGGAGGGGTGGGAGGGCGGAGGCGGATAGCGGGGGGGTGGGAGGGAGGAAACTTGACAGGGGAAAGAATGCGAGGTAAAAGAGTTGCCTGTGACAGACCTCTGACGCCCCTCTCCCACCTTCCTCCCTTTCTTCCTTTTCTTCCCTCCCTGCTACACTCCATCCCCCTAATCACCCCTCCTTTCCCACAATTCTTCTCCACACCCTCCATTCTCCTTCCACCGTTCCCCAACACTCCTCTCACTCGCTTCCCTAAAACCAACTCGCCAATGTCTCACTCACCCATGAGGAACGTGAAGGGCCCCCACACGAGCTCGAACACGCCCTGAACCTCCCAGAGCAGGAACACCACGACAAAGCAGATGGCAATCTTCATGCCAATGACAGCGGGCAGCTCGTTGTACTTGCTGTAGATGCCGAGCGCGGCGTAGACCATGACGGTGAAGAGCGTGTGCATGGGGCAGATGTAGTACAGCATGTAGTCGTTTGTGAGCGCCAGACAGCAGAAGAAGACGAGGAAGTTGAGCCGCCACATCATCTGGAAGGGGGGAGAGGGGGTGTGGCGGGCGCAGGGGAGGGTGGCGACAGGGATGGGGGGAAGGGGGGGGCCGGGCGGGAAGAAGGGAGTTAGAAATAAGGGCGGAGAGGGGGGGAGTGGAGGGGGAGGAGTGTGGGGGGGGATGCAAGGGAGAGGGACCGACAGACACGGGGTGGGAGAGGATAGGCTGGAGGATGGGAGCAGGGGGGAAGGGGTTGGGGGAGAGGGAGATTTTGGTGCCAATAATGACAGGGCGCTTGTTGAGTGGGATTTTTTTTCAAAGCACAAAGGGGAGGAGAGACTAGGAAGGATACAAAGAGGCTTCGCGCCGGGAAAAGGGGAAGGGTGGGAGGGAGAAGAGGAGTTGGATGAAAGGGTGTGTAGGCAGAGCGAGATTCTGGTGGCAATTTACTCGATCAGCTTGCTACGGTTCCCCCTACCCCCTGCCCCTGCCCAGCCCCACCACCCTAGCAACAAAGAAAGAAACAATCTATTACACGTGCCAGGAAGCGGTAGGGACGGCAGGGACGGCAGGAGGGC